AGATAGATAGATAGATAGATAGATAGATAGATAGATAGATAGATAGAAAGATAGATAGATAGATGGATACTTGTTGATAGTGGTAGAGCAGAGCTAGTTACCACATGGTGGCAATGAAGGGAAGAGAGAGGAAGAAGCCAGGGTCCCTGTATCCTCTTCAAAGGCACACCACAACAAAGCAAGTTTCGCCACAAGGCCCCATCTCCCATCTCCCAAAAGTGTGTGTGTAGACCCATGTACACACAGACACGTGCAAAACACAAGACACATGCAAACCATAAGTGAAAATAAAACTATCTTAAGCAAAGTTTGCTGTGTTCTTACGGGAAGAAGACACGTGTTTCTCAGTTGCTCTGGGCTTTGCACCTGTGCATCTGCAGCTAAACTGTGAGGCTGTCAGGTTAAACGATAGTGTTCTTGTTAGTTACTTATCTCGTTCATTGCCGTGATACAACGTCTCAGGGGTTGGCTAATCTTGGTTGTGAACTTGACACGCTCAGGAAGAGGGAACCTCCAATGAGAAGTTGCCTCCATCAGATTGGCCGACAGGGATGCTAGCGGGGCATTTTCTTGATGGCTGGCTGATATAGGAGGGCCTAGACCACTGTGTACTGTTCCTAGGTAGGTAGGCCTGGGCTTGAGCCAGTAGCAGCATCCTGCTATGGCATCTGCTTCAGCTCCTTCTTCCAGGTTTCTGCCTTGAGTTCCTGGCCTAACTTCCTCAGTGATAGACTAGGACTAAAAAATGTGTGATGAAATTAACCCTTTCCTTCCCAGGTTTATGGGGGGTGGTTGTTTTGGTCAAAGTGTTTTGTCTCAGCAACAGAAAAGCAAACTGAAACACTTGACAGGAAGCATTTTAGGAGAGGAAAACTACTCTGGTTTATAACTTGGAGAAGGCCGCCCTGGTGAGGAAGATTCAGCAGCCATAGTGTGAGGCTCCTACCACGCTGCAGCCGTCGTCGGGAAGTGGGGAGCAGTGAACCATCATCTTTGCTCTTCATGGTCTTCTGCCATCTTGGCAATGGGGTTTTTAATCAAGAATTTCATACATGCATATAATGATGGATGGATCAAGTCCACCCCCTGTTCCCTCTCTTTTCCATATCCACCTCATCTCTCTCACAACTTCATGAGCTTTCTCTCATACCACCTGTATGTGCATGGGATAGAGCATGGGTAGCCTTGCAGGGGCCACATACCTGATGAACACTTCCTCTTCCTCCACAGCCACCATCAGTTGACAGCAGCTTCTCAGCTAAGAGCAAGACTTCATGAGCACCCCCAGTGCATGCTGGGATTTTGCCTACTTTGATCTTTGTCCGTCCCTTGTGTATCTAGTCACAGCCACTGAGTCTGTGTGCACAACAGCCTTGTCATGACCGGCAAATAATGTTCCACCCCCGTGAGATCTTCCCTCCCCACTCCCCAGGGCCCTTTTCTAGTTTTTAGAGCTTTCCAGTTTAAACACACATATTCAAGCTTTCAGATCTATCACCAACATACGAGAAAGAACATAGCGCTTCTCTTATGGGGCTTAGGTTACCTCACTCACAATGATTATTTCCGGCTCTGCTTATTTATCCATATCTCACTTTTCTTTACAGCTAAGTAATAATTGTTGGGTATTGGAATCACATTTCCTTAAGCTAGTCCTTCCTAAAGGTACTTTAGAGTTGTTGCTTCCTCTTACCACTAGAGGGCGGGAAAGCATCGCAAATTCATGCTTTTTCTTCATGCTGGGGGAAACCCAACCAGGGGTATGCTGCTACCCCACAGTGGGTGAGTGGGCGAGTGGGCATATCTTCCCACCTCAGTTAACCAAATCTAGACAGTCCCTCACAGGCATGCCCAGAGGCTTGTTTCCCAGGTACCTCCCATCAGGTTGGCAAAAGGGATTGCCCATCATGGCTGTGTTGTGACAAATAGTCCTGAAAATTAATTTTGTAGATCAGCTGTTGGACACAGATTGGTGTTGGAAAGAGGTGGGAGCTAGCTTACCACACCATTCCAGGGCCCAGGCCCACAGACCTGTGTCCTGATCTCGGTGTTTATAGTCTCCAGGCAGGGAGCCAATGGCCTCACACCTTATATGTTGGTTCTTACAGCCTCTGGTTGGAAGCGATGCACCCTGTCCTATCCTAGTTCATTACCAAAGCAAGTCCATGACAGTATCACCATGCGCAGAGTGACTCATGCTGGACACATCTTGTCTCATAGTTCTTTTCATTTGTTGTTCGTTTGTTTGTTTGTTTTGTTTTTCGAGACAGGGCTTCTCTGCGTAGCCCTGGCCGTCCTGGAACTTGCTGTGTAGAACAGGCCTGCCTCAAACTCACAGAGATTTGCCTGCCTCTGCCCCCCTAGTGCTGGGATTTAAGGGGTGTGCCACCACACCTGGCTGTGGTCTCACGGTTCTTCAGTGGGTCTGGGTCTCAGGAGTCCCTCAGGGTCTCAGCTGTAGTTGGATGCAACCAAGTAACCAACCCGACCTGTAGTCCTCTTAGGGACCAAGGACAGGCTCCACCTCAGAGTCCATGGCGGCAGTGGCCAGGCTGACGCTCCTGGTCCTCTCTCCTGGACTCTGCCATCAGTCATCCTGTAGAGAGGATAATCGAGAGCACCCGAGGCAAGGAGCCATCGTATTCTGTAAGCTAGTCTTCAAGGTGACATTGTGTTATTGTCTGCCGTGTCCTTTGCTGGAAAACAGCAGGCCCACAGTTAAGAAGAAGGACTTTTATACAAGAATATTAATTCCAGGTTGGGGCAGGGATTTGGGGGTTGTCTTTGTTAAGGTTTCTATTGCTGTGAAGAGACACCGTGACCACAGCAACAATTCTAAAGGAAAACATTTACTTGGGGCCGACTTACCGTTCTGAGGTGCTGTCCATTATCATCATGGCAGGAGGCATGGTGTCATGCAGGCTGACATGTGCTGGAGAGGTAGCTGAGAGTTCTACACCCATATAGGCAGCAGGAAGAGACTGAGCCGCTGGGCCTGGCCTGAGCTTCTGAGACTTCGAAGCCACGACCTAGTGACACACCTACTCCAATAAGACTCCACTCCCCTAGGGGCCTTACAGAGCCCATTTTATTCAAACCGCCACCCGAAATCTGCCTAACCAATGTATCCACAACAATCGCAGCCACTGCCTAAAAGAGAGCACTGGATTTCTACAAAACTCCATCAGTAACAAAGCCGCATCTCATTTCTCTCTCTCTCTGCAGGCAGAGGTTGGGGGCTGCCGTAGCTGCTTCTTAAGCTGATCTGTTCTCGGGATCAATAAGAACTCTCAGTCCCCGGGTTCCCAATCCATCATCTCTTGACAGTGCTAAATTTACTAATTCACCCCAAAGAAATAATGTGGTCTTAAATCCAATCAAGTTGCTCTGTGATTCACTCCATTAATCCCACTGATATATTTACTTGTCGCTAATGATGTTACAAATTTCCAAGTAGAAAATAAAATCAGATGCAGCCTTATTTATTTATTCTTGCCAAGCTCTAGACCTCTCTAGGAAGGGAGAGGCTCCTGTCTTCCAGCAGCCTGGCCCTTTGAAATCCACTCCTAGCAAGCAAGGATGGACTGGCAAGGGAAACGTCATATGAAAAGTCAGCTGCCAGCACGTGCAGACAGAAAAGCTAGCTCCCACGGGTGTACCAAAGGCAGCGTTGTCCAGAGGCTGGAGGGGAATGCTGCGTGAGGAAGCTGCCTTGTAAAGGTGACGCATACGGTGATTTTGTACTGGGCATATCAGTAGTGACCCATCAAACCAAGGCCTTAGGCGTGGCCAAAATGTCTGAGCCAGAAGGAACTGTGGGCAGCATTCTCTTTCAGATCTTTCATTCTATTAGCAAGGAAACCAAATCCCAGATTGGGAAGGGGAGGAACCCGGCCAGCAGAGTGCAGCAGGGAGCATTTAGCCTGTGCACCTCAGATTTCGAAGGCAGACCCCAGCGTTCTTGCCATCTCTTCTTGCTCTCGTAAGCCCTGTGGAAAGTAAAGCAGCCTCCTCCACACGTCTAGGCTGGTGAGCAATGATGCCTCCCACGTATACCTCAGGTGGATACTTTTTCTTACTGTCTGGGCTTCTTACTAGTAGCATGCTTCCTGAGCACAGGGTGACAGGGAACTGTTGCTAAAAGGGGGTGTCGGTGAGTCACAGCTTCTAGAAGGTACCTGAAGGTCGGTACTTATTATCCCCACTAGAGGGCAGAAGAGCGCCACTAATTCTGTTAGGGAATCAGCCAGGAAAATCTCCTTTCCAAGCAATTTTTATTGTTTCTGCTCTTGTGGCAGAACCTCCTCGTGTTTGGGTTCATTTGGCTATATCTTGATCCAGGAATTCTCCGTTCTTTAGGGGGCCCTCTATCTTGTCCTTGCTTCCTCAAGTAGCTCTTCTCTTCTTTAGGGCT